TTTTTAGTGTATCTTGCATGTTAATATGAGCTCTCCCTGTGAAGTGTCTCAACTTTCTTCATCTTAATAGTAGTATTCACCTCTTGGTTTACTAGCATGCAAGAAATAATTCCAATTATAATGGTAGAAGCTGACATTTATTATATACTTAAGATATAGATATTGTCTTTATTCTAAGTATGTGCATACATAGGGAGTTTATAAAGCATTTGTGTTTAGTATTTTTTTTTTTTTTTTTGTCAGTCTGGGTAAACTGGCTGTCACCTATATTACAGAAGAAGAACTAATCTACTAGAAGCAATATTTTAATCACAAATTAAATTAAGCAGCATTGGCTCGGGGCGGGCGGGCCTCCGGCGCCGCGCGGTTCCCTCGGGTCTCGGAAGTCGGTGCTGGAGACGCGGGCGGCGGCGGCGGCAGCGGCGAGCGACCCGCGCGGAGGTTAGCCCTCGGGAGGGAGGGAGAGAGGGAGGGAAGGGACACTTCTGCGCTCCCCACCGGGTCGACGGCGCGGGGACCCGGCCTCGGCGGAGAGCGCGCGGTCCGAGCGGGGTTTTCCGGCGGGACGCCCCCTCCCTGCGCCCGCCGGGCCGCGAGGAAGTTCCCGGGAGCGGCGCCGCCTCAGCCTGCGCCCCGCAGGTGGGTCCGGCCTGAGAGCGCGGTGGGAACGCCGCACGCGGGCCTCGGGCCGGCTGTCCCTCCGCGACCCCCGGAGGCTGCTGACGGCGAGCGCCCCGCGGCCGCCCCGGCCCGCTCCGGCCCCGGCGACTGCTCGGGCGCGCCGAGGACGAGCCGCTCGCCTAGCGGAGCAGCTGGCCCGGGCGGCGCCCTCGCCGCGAAGTCGGAGCCCGGGGCGCGCCCGAGAGCGGTGACTCAGCGCGCTTCCAGGATGTCCTGGTCGCCCTAGGAAGGCGGCGGGGGCGTGCGCGGGGAAAGTTTGAGGTTCCGCCCATGGGTGGCCTCTGGGAGTGTCTCGGGGCGCCCGCTGCCTCCCGGCGCCCGCGGCCAGGGGCGAGGGGCGAGGGGCGCGGGGCGCCCGCTCGGCTGGACGCGCTCGCTTTCTCCCGAGCTCGCCGACGACGTGCTCGGCTGGCCCGGTGTTAACAGCCGCTTAGCCGTCGGTTAAAAAAGAAAAGTTACGTTGAAGACAGCTGCGTCCCTCGTAAGTCATCTTTTAACAAGTAAATTGGTGCCTCACGCCCGAAATCGCACCGACTGCATAGGAGGAGTTCGAGGCCAGCCTGATTTAGGGAGACTGTTTCCCAAAAAGTAAAGGAAAAAAAAAAAGGAATTCTTTTTTTCTTCTTTTCACTTTCCTTTTTGAAATTGAAGTCTAACAGAAAAAGGAAATATGTTTTTCTGTTCTTTTTTTTTTTTTTTTTTGGGGGAGAAATAAGGTTGCTTGACAGTTTGTAAATCTTATTTAATCTTTCAAAAAAACCAAGTCTTTTTTTTTTGTGGAACCGGGGATTGAACTCAGACCCTTGCGCTTGCCAGGGAAGCGCTTATCCTACTGAGCCATCTCCCCAGCCCCATCATCTTTTCTGATACCCGATTCGTTATAAAACTTTTGTGCTTCAAATGGTATGTAATACTATTTTTTTTTAACAAATTGGCTTGTGCTACAGAATTTTAAAAAATCATTTAAAAACTTCACTGAACAGTTACTTCATAATCCATGTTTAATTTTGAAAACTACGTTTTATGTCTTGAGGATTATAAGAAAGTTGATAAAATCAAAAAGGGAAGACTGCTAGTGATTGAAAATGTATTCTCAACATTTACCTGTAATGAGTGTGACTCGCCTGTTCTGTTGTTTTTGTTAGACATGGATACTTTAAAATTTTTTTAATGTTATTTAGTACAGGGTTTCACCACACCGATCAAACTCGTACTGCACCTCCTGTCTTTAGCCGCCCAAGCGCTGGAATTGTAGGCATGTCCGGTCTCAGTCGCCCTGCCCCGGGAGCGGAGCCGGTGCGGAAGGAACCCCAGACCTGCCTTAGCAAGCGCTTTAGAGACTTGGGTACTTTTTAAAGATAAATGCCAAAAGCCTTTAGAAAGAGACTCCCCCCCCCCCCAACAACTTGAAAGTACTTTTAAATCTACGAGTAGCAATATTGGCTTTTACTGACTGCTGGATTGTTGCCCATACTTTTGTTGTTTTTTTTTTAATTTTTTTTAACATTTATTTATTTTAGTGTGTGTGTGTGTGTGGCCAGCTCAGTCCACCGGGGGCGGTGCTGGCTGGCATGTGGTGCTGGGGGATCGAACCGTGGTGCCTGTGCTTTGCCAAGCTTGTTCCAAGTAGGTGCTTTAGACCACTGAGCCATCTCGCCAGCCCTGCCCGTACTTTTGGAAATTTAGTTTTTGATGAGAGAATCAAGTCGCTGGAGGTAATCAGTCACGTGGCTCAAACTTTAAATTGTCACAAAGGCATTCAGTACAGAGCCGTAGAGCTGTTTGTTTTGGGGGGCTATGGGGGGGGGAGATTGAACTTCCTGGTCCTGTATTCCTTTTGATAGGCTACTTTTTAAAACTTTTTAGTTATCTACTAAGTCTTGTTATAATTGTTATGCTGCCTACAGTGAATAACGTTTTCACATGCATTGTTTTCTCTCTACAAATACATTTGTACTCTAAAGACCTTTATGATTTTGGTAAATATTGCAAACTCACTTTCCATGTGTATTCCCACTAGTAGTGTAAGACTTTCTCCAACTTTTGCTGTCAGTTAGATTTTTTATTTTTTTTGTACTCCAGTGGGTCAGAAGTAGAGTCTCGGGTGGGAGGAAATTGTTTTACTTGGAACAGACTTCGTGTGTTTTCTGAGTGGCTAATCATGCGACACAAAAAAGTTCCTGAGTCATTCCGTGAAATCTGTCTGCCTGGGGGACTGTATTTTGTTTATTTAAGATTTATTGGGGCCAGGGAGATGGCTCAGTGGAATAAGCGCTTCCCTTGCAAGCGCAAGGGCCTGAGTTCAATCCCCGGTTCCGCCAAAAAAATAAAAGATTTTATTTATGTGTTTGGTGCAAGGTCTTGCTATGCAGCTGGGACGCACAGTGGTCTTCCTGGCTCAGGAATTACAGGCATGTGCCGCTAGTGCCCCAGGACATTCTCGTCTGATGAGGACAAGTTTGAGAAACACTGCCTGGGAAGAGTAGCACTCGCAAGAGGGTTGCTTAGCACCATGTTTGTGAGCCAGTGCGAGGCTTCTTATTCTTCAGTCTGTTTGAAAACATGGTTACTGCTCTATGTGGGTCAGGTGAACACTTTGTGTACATTTTTAGATCCTGTTATGAGTAATTGCAAAAATGAAAATGAGGAGAGTGAAAAAAACTTGATGAAATTTTAAGAGCAATTTCAACACAATTGAAAATCATTTGCTGATTTCCTGGTTTTGGGTGTGTGTGTGTGTGAGTGTGTGTGTTTTATGAAATGTGCTGTGTCTTTGATTTCAGCTAATGAACCTAATATATGAATCTGTGTTGGATTCTTCCAGATTTCAAATGTATCTCTAATGTGATCCACCCTATCATTACTTTTGGGTCTTCTTCAGATTTCAGGGGTATATCAGATATGTTTTTTTTTTTCTTTTCAAAGTTTTATTGATAAACATATAGCAATGAGACAGTTTCAAATCAAATCGGAAGTACAGTTTCAACAAATAATACACTGCATGTATTCTTCTTAGTGGTTAATTGCTGTATACAAGATGTAGACTTGTGATCCTACTTACAAACACCATTAGAAAAAATCATTCTATTCGTTAAGAGAATGCAACTATATATCTATCCCAACCACTTTGAATACACAGATACAAAATGGACATTCATAGTTATACCCCAATTTTTTTTAAGTTCCGTTGTTGAATATTATAGGTGTGTAAACTCAGCAAAATATTCTAAAAGAGTATAGAAGCCCATAATAGCATTGGGTCTTCTATTTAATTGGCAATGTCAGAAATTATTGACGTGAGTCCCCCACAGCTCAACATAACAACATGGCTTTACTTCCTATATCAGATAGGTTTTTAATTACTGTCTGGTAGTTTTTGCACTTGCATAATCAAAATACAGTGTTTTGAAGACGTTAATGGCTTATTATTTTGAAGAATTGATCATCTTTGTTGAGTATTTAGAATTTCTCTTTCTAATTAGTGCACAAAATTTATTTAAAAAAATTTTGTATTTCTCTCCAATCACCTGTATATACACCTAGCTTCATTTGGCCTCTGACAAACCATACCAAATAAATTTTAGTACAGATACAAAACCTGAAAGAAGGTTGAATATCCTTTTAGTAAAATGGGATGGTCTAGGGGCTTCTTTCAAAGTAACTGCATGGTAAAGCCTTCTTATTGAAAGACTAACTTCAAAAGGCATATTTCTTTTACTAATTACAGATATATTGTTTATTCATTGATTTTTAGTTTTGTGGAATTTCAGTGTGCCTGCCAAACATCTTTACCCTTGCTACTGTGGATAAAAAAGGAAAAATTCCAGGTTTTCTATGGTGTTCAGTGAAGGTTTTTTAAAAAAAAAATCTGTTAGAGTAGTATTTTCGGACATACCTTTTTAGAGGGAGTTGAGCTCAGGACCTTGGGCTTGCTAGCCAAGTGCTTCATATATTGAGAGGATGCTTGGTTTGGATGATACAAACTGATGTGTAATACGATCTCTATCCTTTTGCATCATTCTAGACAATTCTGTTAGTTTTGGTGGGGTTTTAAAGCCTAATTTGTAATATGTGGACGTCATTCCTAGGTTGACAAAATACCACAAATGTTTGAAGTGCAGGAAAAACAATTTCACTAGATCCCCTAGCATACCTTACATGTGTAAAAGGTTCTGGTGAACCCATATGATGTTTGTGAGATAAAATAATTTTATCCTATTAGAACTGTTTCTCTCTTTTCTTTGAAAACAAAGTCATAAACTAGAACTGTGCAAAGAAGAAACTCAAAAATTATAATTTGATCCAGTCAACCCTGATGATATGGAAAGAATTGGAGGGCATATTGCTAGACCTCACCTTGAGGCTTTTGGTTCCCCACTTGGGGCCAGGTCTTCAGTTTCTTCAGCTTCTAAGACCTAGAAATTTATTAGAACGGCATTGAGGTTTCCTATTATTCTTACAAACTTTAGACATAAGGAACCATGTTTCAGGACCTCAAGTTAGTTTTAATTTTGATGCTTCATGTACTTTAGGCTTCTGCTCTGTGCATTTCAGTTTTCTGTGCCACAGTAAGATGTTTTGTACAGTTTTTCATTTTATAATGAAGCTAATTAAGCTACTTTAAGTAGTTTGATATGCTGCAATCATGGAAATAATTTATGAGACTAGAATGGTTAAGCTTTTTGTTATGGTGGAGTTAGAAGAGTATAGTTTATGTTCTAGTATTTAAAGAACAAACAAGCCCCAGATTTCTGCCTTACAAAAAGGTTGTTAATTGGTGTTGATTAAATATATGAAACACTAAGCTTATATCCTGCAATGCAGCCTAAATTGATGGCAGAAATGGGAGTAGGGTTTAGAGGATTTTGAGTCTCATCACTGTATTTAATGGATCATCAGTGATTATGTGATCCTGAATTATCATCCTAAGATTTTTTTATATGGATTAAGCAAACAATTTTAACTTTGTCGTTGTAAGTTTTGCAAGAGGTATGTTAGTGTAGTATAGAGATTTCAGCAAACGGTAAGAGCAATGAGTGTTACCAGTCCAGGTGATTTTTTTTTTTTTTTTTTTTTTTTTTATGCAACAGACTTTACCAGAGTTTTGAACTTCATTATTCAGAATATTGCATCTAGAGAGGAAATCAACTAGATATTCTGAAATACCACATACTGCGCTTGAGCTGTGGAGACCTTTGGTCTGGGCACATTTGTTTAAAGACTTAAGGGAGTAATTCTGATAATGCTTTGAGAAGCTTGAGGGACAGAGGGGAACTTGATGCTTGGTAGAGTAGTTTGTTGCTTTTTTATTCTTTGAGGGGGTGGAGAGAGGGAGGGGAGTCTTTAGTTGTTTTGAGGAATGTGTGATACTACCACAGTCACTGATAAATCTTTTAATAAAAACTGAGGACCGTGTTTCCCAGAGATGTACCGGGGTGGGGTGGAGGGCGGCAGGGACATGGCTTAGCGGTCTTAGTGCTTGCCAGGCAAGCGCAAGGACCCAGGTGCAGTCCCAGGTACCACTGTGCCAGCCCGCCCCACCTGCCAAAACAGGCCTGTAATCCCAGCGCTGTGGAGGCTGAACCAGAAGGATCCCTACGTGTCCAAAGCTGCGGAGGCAGAGCTTGTACTGAATACATAAAAGTTAAAAAAAAAAAGCAATAAAGGCGTACTGGCCTTAAGAGCCTATAATTTGTGAGCTCCGTCTGAGAGGCTGCAAGGTTGGAGGCCCTGTGACAGGGTGCCTGCCTTTTGAAGTTTGTATCTGAACTTGGAGTTTAATCCTGATTGCTGTGGGATGATGTGAGGCGTTTGTACTTGTGTAGTGATTTGTCATTGGGGAGTTGAGCCCAGCACTCCCACACCATTGTTGTCCCCTGTGGCTCAGCCTGGAGATAGCAGGCGAAGCCCCCTAATTTGTAGGCACACCCTAGAGAAGGAAATCAAGTCGGAGTATGTCTTCTATTTTCAGCCTTGTGGCAGGCCGCTCAGGGGACCAGTTACTAGCTTCCCTGCTGTGAGCACTACAGACCTTAGCCTGACACCCACTGGGCTCTGGAGAGGTTGCTTCCTGTCCCAGGGTGCTGAGGGGAGCCGCCCTATCCTAGTTCCTGGTCGGTGCTGCGAGCCGAGGAGAGCTGCACCCCTCACCTGCTCTGATGGAGCGCGCTGCGCAGACAGTAGGTAACACAGTCTGTTTTCTCTCCCTGGGTGTGAGATGGAGCGGGAGAGAGTGAAATGATCCCCGCCCTCCGAAGAGCTGCTGCAAACCACAGATGGACTCTAGGGAGGGACCCCTGCGAGCATGACAGCACTACGTAGCCCAAGGCCCGACCTGTGAGAAGGGACACCGGTGAATCTCTCTGAAGGTGGCCCACGGAGAAAAGATTTACACAAGCGGTCCGACAGGCACCTGAAGTCTAGAACGAGTGCTCTTTTCCTGTGCAGATCTGTACAGATCTTTCCCGGTCTGTGAAGCCGAGGAGAGCTGGCTGTTTTTTTCAAGAACTGTATTAGATCTGAACATAAAGCTGAAAGGCACACAAGGAAGCCCCACAGTCAGAGGAACAAGAGATTCAGAAAACAGCCCTGAGCAGCGCTACTGTGGATGGCCTCACAGCAGGTTCAGGAAAGCCATTGTAAGATGCTCGGTAGTCTCGGGAAAGGGATGCATGAACAAAATGGTTGTGGCGGCCCAGACAAATAAGAACCAGTTAAATTGTGGGGCTGAGCAGTGCAATAGCTAAGCTGCATTTCAGTAGTAAACTGGAAGTTATTAACTTGATTCTTAATGGCACACTTGTTTAGTGAAAGGATTCAGTGAGCTCAAAGGTGGGGGACTTCCGATTGTCTAGTCTGAGAGGCAGTAACAATAGAAATGTCAAGACCGCCTAGCATATTCGTGGCCTCACCTTGGGTCAGCTGACGTGTATGTCGTCGGAGTCTCTGAAGGAGTAAAGAGAAGGGGGCAGTTTATTCGAAGAAATGGAAATACTGGCCATACTTTCCAAATCAGAGACAGACATGAATAGGAGAAATGCAGAGACCTACAGTGAGACATGCTAATCAGATGGGAAAAAGTCAGAAATAATTTTGAGAACCGTAAGAAAAGAATAATTTATTATGTACAAAGAAGCCTCAGTAAGCATTAAAAAAAAAAAATGGTACAGGCTGAAAAAAGGAGTGTGATCCAAATGTTGAAAAAGGAGGGAAACAGACTTGCAGCAAAATGTTATGTCTGGTAAAACTTCTTCACAGATGAAACCCTCAAAAACAAAACAAGCTAGAAGACTGCCGTCGTTGGTCTGTTTATAATAAGTGCTAAAGAGAGTCAAGTTGAAACGTAAGGACATTGTAAAGTGACACAGAAGAGCACACGATACAGACTTGTGCAAGGTGTTGTGGGCTACAGGCTTCCAGTTGGACTTGGAGGGCGTTGCTGGGGGCTCTAGTTCTTCCTGGACTCCTGCAGGATGTGGCTGTGGAGTCTGGGCCCTCAGCTGGGTTCTTTGGGTCTCTAGTGGAAAGATCTGTGCTCTTTTTGCATTCGACTCTTTAGGTGAATATTATCAAATAATCCTATAAATTGTGTCGTATATTAAATATTTTCCCCTGTAGAGCTGGCCAGATAGTTCATTGAACTAAAGTGACTGCTTAGGCAGAGCACAGCTGCCTGGGGGTTTGATCCCCTGCTGTGCAGCCCTACCCCCGGGGCGCAGCGGGAGGCTCACTGTGATTCAGTCTACTATGAGTTCTATCTGATGAGACCCTGTAGACCCTGTACTAAATAAAAAAAGTAAAATAGGTATTTTTCCCTTGTTAAACCCTGACTACAGTGGGGCAAGATACTGCTTAGCGGGTAGTGTTGGGACATGCTGGAAGTTTACACTCTGAAATGCTGCGCAGTGGAATTCCTTGCAAAGCCCACCCGAAAGGAGCCCTTGGGGCAGCAGCTCATGAAGGGATCACCTTGCTATTGTGTTCTGCTGTGCTGCTGCTGTGAGCTGAAGAATCGGTACCCTGTAGAACGTGAAGTGCTAGAGAGGCAGTTAGTGCAGGGACTGGCCAGAGTGATCCTTGGACTTGGGAAGAAATGAAACCTTTCTTTGTACCTTCAGCTGTGCCAGCCGACACAGTACTTAACACCTGCCAGCTTGCAGAGGCACAGCTTCAGTTTTGGAGAGTGGGCAGTGAGGGTTGGCTTTGCTAATGGGAGCTTGTAAGTTGGCAGAGTGTTGTCAGGCCCTGTCATTTTAGGAGATCCTCTGTTTTGTTGGGTCAAGTGAAAAGTATTCCTTTCCACGGTAGCTAGTGAAATTTAATGCATTTGTGTTGTATTTTTAGAGAACTTTGTTTTAAATTATTGCAAAAGGTGTTGGTAATTGAAATACATGGAACAATAAATGAAAGACAAAAATTCCCCTCTTATTCCCTATTCCCTTAGCATCTATGTTAGGAGATGAAAGTGTTAACTAAAAATTTATGATGTAGTGTAGTCTGTATATTTTTTAGTGATGAGTTTTTCTATATTGATATCATATGATATGCGTTTAGATTTTGCTGCTGCAAAGAAATGTATGCAGTCCAAGAACATTGTACTAGTTTTTCAAGATAGTGTTAGTTGCCAAGTACTGCTATAAACTAGGTGTTCTTTCAGATTTTCTCCTTTCCCCCCCCCCATAGGTATTTTTTGTTGGTGTATATTATAGAATGGTTAGATTTTGTTTTGTTTTTCTAAACTTGTGAAATGAAGGGACTTTGTTTGAAGGTAGGTTGAAAATATAATGAACACAGTCATGAGCAGCCCCTAAATATCAATTACTGGTTTGTGGTATAGCCTTGATTTTCTTATATTTTCCATGTTTGGCAATTTAAATATTTCTTACTGACATTAAACAGTTGTATATATTTACATATGTGCTGTCAGTGCATGCTATATAAATTTCTGTGACTCTTGCATAATATATTTTTTTCCTTTTAGAAAAATCCTGCAGAAATGTCTCTCTATCCATCTCTTGAAGATTTGAAGGTAGACAAAGTAATACAGGTATGTTTAATTTTTTAAAAGATATACTGACATACATTCATTTTACTTTGTGAATTAAAGCAAAAGATTTAGCTAACAGATGTACGTTCAGTTTTACGATTCATAACTCATTCTGTTGTACACTGAAAAGAAAAATTAGCAATTCTTTTTCATTTTATTGTGAATTAATATACATGAAGTATTTAAAAATTCACTTAAATTCTTCAAAGAGGTTTTTACTGATTAAAACTGAAATTACAGGCTAGGGAGCTAGCTCAGAGGCACAAGTACCTGCCTGGCAAGCACAAGGTCCTGAGTTTCATTCCCGGTACCAAAAAAAAAAGCATAAAACTGAAATTACATACAACATATTTAAGTTGATTCATCTTTTAGATTCTTGTCCTTTTGCATAGAATTGGTACATTTTTCTTTTTACTATTCAGACATACTTAATCTTTATTGGAAAGTTAAATACAAAAATAATGAAAAGTGGAGAACATACTGTTAGAACAGGAATAGTATGAAAGCACAAGGAAAATGTGATTTTTCTTTTAGAGATAAGCAGCAGATGGGCCGGGTAGATAGCTCAGTAGAAAGTGTTTGCCTGGCAAGCGTAGGGTCCTGAGTTCAATCCCTGATATTGCCCAAAAAAATAAAATAAAATGAAAATAAATTTAAAAAGTAGAGATAAGGAGCAGATATTTCACTTGTTTATGCTTTCAGTGAGTATATTAGAGACTACAGTACTTCTAGGCATGCTAAATGGAGAAATATTTATAGTTCTTTAATGGTACTAGCTAGTAATACTATAGTCCTAGTAGCACTAGCTTTGTAGAGTCATGCTTCTGCTTAAGAAGAAACTGGAGTTGTAATTAGTCATTGCAGTTCTTGAAATTTATGGTACTGTTTTCAAATGGATTCAACTTGCAAATTATGAACCCATCTGTTTACAATTTCTCTCCACTTGATGTAAACACATACTCTCTCCACTTGTTTTATTCAACTTCTGTACTTCTTTAGTTTACAAATAATTTTTGCATTGTATCAGAAAAATCATTTTGCTTGAGGCCCTGACTTCAGTATACTCAATTCTTTTAATAGCTGATTAATGAGGAGAAAAAGTCTATTATGAAGACTGTATTCTAGGCAAAAAGATTGGCCTCATGAGGGCGAAAGCAAAAGGAAGCACCACCAATGAGGCAGCCCTAGCTGGGATTCTTGCTCTTGGTGGGTGGGCAGTTTGGTGTGGGGGGATCGTGTGCAGAGCTGTCCATCCTAAATCCATGGAGGGTATTATAGTGTGGCTTGTAAGGTCTGTGATCGTGGTTTCAGCTGCCAAGGCTTTGATGTTTAAGTGACTGATTCACTTGTCTTAAATATTCTATCACTGTCTTTCTTTTGTGTTCTGTCAGTGTATTTTTAAGTGGTTTTTTATTTCCACAAAGTGTATCTGTGAACAAGCTCTCTTTCTTTTTAAAAAGCTCTTATCCAAAGTGTTCAGCTTTCCAGCGTTATCATCTTGAACCACTAATGACACCAGAACATTGTCTGATAAGGATCTGCGGACTGATCTGAAAGAATGACTAATACAGTCTTTGTTTTCGCCTTTTTTTTTTTTTTTTGATAGCTTTTTATGGAATTCAGCGTAAATTAACCACAATTGGCTTTGAGCTGAGTTTTTGTTTTTTTGAAAATTGAAAAAATCATTGATACTGAGGAATATTGAGCTGAAAAATAAAGAGGGCTGCAACCTACATAAGACTGAACTCTTTCCACAGAAGTAAATGACTTAGGTAATGTTCAGCAGAAGGCTGTTTATGTTCAGAACAGAAAGCAAGCTGCTAGGAAATGGTCCAGAACAAGAGGGAAACGTGATGTTTGTATTAGTCCCACTAGCTTTAAAAGCATTTGTGATCTAGCCAGTAGTGTTGGCCTGCATCTTGACTGGGGGGGGGGGGGGGGCTTCATTTTTTAAGATACTTCCATTTGACTTTTTGAGCTGTCTCTGAAAAGGCATTATAGGTCAGCGTAGTATTTGTCTTTCCCAGCTACTGGCCTAAGCTGTTTTATAGTAACCATCAGGCTTTCAGCATCATATAGAATCATGAATCTATTTCAGATATAACAGGAGCCTATGGTTCCTCTGCTTACACAAGCATTTTAAGAAAAAAATGATAGTCTAATGAAAGAAATAGGAGACCAAGTGGCAGGCTTTTGTGAAGGCATGTAGACTGTATCCAGTTACTTAGTGCAGATGGGCGGGGAGTGACAAAGCTGCCCAATGAAGAGTTTTATCTGGATACAAAGAGGGCAGGGCGAAGGTTTAACAAGCTTCTGTGATTAAAGCCTTCTGGCAGCCTCGTATCCCAGTGGGCAGAGTCCTTCTCTAGATCCTGCCAAATTCTTGTCCTAGCATACTGCCTTTCCTGTGCTGGCGGATGGCAGCCTCCGGTGTAGAGTAATGCTTCTGCTGGCAAGCACGCTGGAGGCTGGGAGAGTCAGGCCAGGCTGGAGACACACAGATGGAATCTGTAAGGTTTTTGGTGCTGTAGAGAGGCTGATAGAGGTACAAAGAAAGACTTCATTGCTTTTGTTGGAGATTGCTAGAACACCGGGAGGAAGAAGCTGGTAGCTAGGGTTGGCGTCCACATGGGTGAGTGAAGCGTCCTGTCGGGAGAGGAATGGAGGGTTGTGCATGGGAAAAGGAAGTGGGAAGTTTATTGGAAGTTTATTTTGGTACTAGAAGAACACAGAAGTTAGTTCTGAAGGGACACATTGTTTTGGGGCCCAATGCCATGTTGGATCATAGCTGTGATAACCTTCACCAAGATACATACTGGTGGAAAGCCATCATTCCTGACTTTTTGTTGTTAAGGGACGTGACTCACTCAAGCTGCTGCTTGCTGACTGGGGGCGACTTGGTGGGGACTGCTGTAGTCATTGGGGTAGCAGATCAGGCCCACTTAGAAGCTGGCACCAAGGATCTCAGCCAGGTCAAAGAGCTCTCTGGTGATGAAGGCCTGTATCCTAGATTGGAGAGGTCTTGAGAAATGTTTGAATAGGCAAGGAGCTACAAGAAGTAGAACGACAATCATTGTGAGAGAGTCCAAGAGAGGTAGGATAAGGGGGCCCCACTGTACCCAGGCAGCAGGCCACCAGGACAGAGAGGAGTTGGTATTTTCTTTGACAGTCAGCGTAAAAATGCCTGACTGGCTAATGAGTAACAGCATGTTCCTCCCAGAAGAGCACAGGTGCCTCCCTTTTCAGCTGTTAGAATGCCTGGAGCTTGGATGGAGGGTTTGGAGCACCACAGCTGATAGGGAGGTGATTTGGTTTTGGGGTATGGTAATAGACCCTGATACCTCTTTGATAGAATCGGCAAGGACAGCAGACAACTTAGAGTAAAAATGTCCCAATACCTCTGGTTCCCATGCCGATGGCCGAGAAGAGGCTAGTACCTGCCAGGCCTCGGGCAAATGTATGGCCCTGTGATGGTGTTGGGGTATGTTTTCTAATCCTGTTAATAATTTGGGCTTCAGCATTTAGGGGAATCTGTGGAGTACAACAGCCAAGATGCGAGAGCCCTGCTGGGTGGGTTGGAGGTAGGTGATGGCCACAGACAAAGAACTGTCCATGCAGGGAGCAGATGGAGTTGAGGCATTGGTGCTGGGATGTAAGTGTGTGCATCAGGTCAGATTGCTCACCTTAGAGGTGGATTGAGAGGGGTCCGAGGGTAGATGCAATAGAAGTTAGTGGGCCATTGGAGTTGGGGACCCAGGATTTGTGCTTTCGAGTTAGTTTGAAATGAGGAGACATTTAGGGTGGCAGGGTAGGCCATGTATTGATCTTTGTGGGAGGGGTATACAAGGCTAGCAGCTAAGAAGATCTAAGGCATTGCAAGTCAGACTATAATTTTGGACAGACTTATTAAAGGTTTTATTGAGAAGCTGAAGTACAGAGGTTGCGGTGCGTACATGGAAAGGAAGAAAGGAGGAAAGAGGGAAGACTAGGGGACAGGTAGGGACTTGGACTCTTAAGAATTACCCCTGGGTCTGGGCGTTGTAGATTTGAAGACCCCATTAAATGCCAGTGCTCCAGACGTCATAGTAAGGATTTTTGAGTTGGACTGTCCAGAAGGCATAGGAGGAGCGAGCAGACCTGGTCAGTTTTAGAGAAATGTGAGGATCCAAAAATCTTAGCTACTGATGGTTTCACATCCCTAGTAAGGGCAATGATACTGTGAAAGGTCTTTGCAAGGGGATTGTGGGCAGGGCAAAGGTAGAATCCAAGAGCAAGAAAGGACCAGAAGGGGTATGGCAAAGTCTTTGTGGCAAGAGCCCCGCAGTCACGTTTGCCCTCTGGGCTTTTCAGTGTCCCACAACCTGCAGTGTGGGATGTGAAAGGTTAGTGTGCATGTTCCAGTGTGTGTGGCAGTATTAAGGACTTGACCATTTGTGGCTCAGAAAAGTTTAAAAAGGAAGTAGGCAGATGTGCAAGGAGAGAGCCATGGGGCAGTCAGAGTAAGACCGAAGGGCAGGAGGGATTATTGTTGGAGAAAGTCAGGACAGGTAATTGAGGGTGAGCCCACACAAGAGACAGAAAAGTGGTTTTATGCGGGGATGTTAGGGCCTTCGGAGAAGTGACCAGAGTCCAACAGAACACAAGAATCATAGGAGTAAGGGGATCAAGAACCAGACAGAGTAACAGTACATGGGTCAATCTGGAAATTTGTCAGGGATATTGGTGAGGCTATCCCAGCTTTGGTGGGGAAAACCCTACCTCCATGACCTGAGAGAAAGTTGAGGGTAGCTGAATGTTACATGGTTAGAGCATGGGATGGAGAGCAGAGAACAAAATCATCTACATATTGAAAGAGGGTGTTGGGTTTGAGGTTGAGGTTGACAGTGTGGATGTCAGTAGCATGGGCTTGGCTAAAGAAGTGAGGACTCCCTAAACCCCTGAGGTAGTAGTATCTATGTGTGTTCTACAGATGAGAGGATGTCTGGCTCTGTCCTTGTGAA